ATTGCAAATAAGAGCAAATCACGAACATGGGTAAATAGAAAAAGAATGGGGAAAAACAAAATAAGAGACAGCCACCGTGTGTGGATGCAGGAGAGATTAACCTGTTTCTTCCTTAATGTTAAAAAAGTACTCAGTTAAGCATTTATTATAGCATAGGCTGTCTTTGTTAAAGTGCGTAAAATAAAGTATTTCAGCACACCACAAAATTTTAATGTTTGACAACATCCTGCATCATAACTCTATCGCTGCCATTGCAACAAACCAAACCGCCTGAAAACCGGCTAAAAACTGAACTTAATTGTCCTAATTATCTGATCCACAAAGTGCTGTAAGAGCAGTAAAACCCGAATGTTCATGTGAAGAATGACTTCAAACGATTGGACGTCAGATTAGCTCAAAGCCGATCTTCAGTAATCACAAGGTCATAAGGTCACGGCACCAGCTGTAACTCTTCTGTGTACGTCTCAGGTCCAGCAGGTCGACTTCACGACCCATTTAGGTTCTCTGTATTTATTCTAAAAAGAGGAAATCAAGTTGGAAATCAACTGTCCAGCAGCTTCTGCCCCATAGTTACTAATGGAAACAGAAAAAGGAAGAGGAGCTGTTAGCTACCATCAAGAGCAACGTTTAGAAAAACAACTTATTGACTAAATGAAATAAATTTAAAAAATAAATACATTTTGACAAACTTTACATCTGTATGATTATTAAAAGAAAGCCCTGTTACATGCAGCTTCCTCAGGAGAAATAAATGCACTTGGGTCATGTGACATCATCTAAGATGGTGGCCGTGCCACCAATGCTTGAGGTGTTTACAAGTCTGACGTGATATGCTATAGTAACATGGTAAAGTTCACAGTATTTCCATTGTTTAAACTTAATTAATCCCTCTGATAATTATATGTACTTTGCAACTCTGTGTGTTTTTGTCCTGAACCCACTAAGTTAGTGTGTCCTTAATGGTGGATCGAAAAACCATTGAAAAATTAACTTGATCACCAAATGGATTATTATAGAGCTGAAGGAATAATTTTGATTATTTTAAATAATACTGCAAAAGATTCTCTGCAGATGGTGGTTAACATTAATTAATTGGGCTTTCGTTATTGTTTTTCATTACAGTGGATCAGTTTATTTAACATTTCATAAATATATAAGATGTTTTGTTTATTTCACTTAATATTTCTTGTAAAAAAAAATGGAAACATTGGCATTAATTTTCATAAATTTTTTAAGTTAACTTGGTCATGCTGGTGGTTTATGAATCTTAAAAATGATAATACTCTTACTGAATCACGTCATTGGTAAAGTTATTTGTTTAAGATTTGAAATTAAAGGTTTTGGACTTGAGACTTCCACCTTTGGTCTTTAAGGTTTTCACCTGAGACTTGTGGATGGACTTAAGAGTTACCTGTGCCTAAACTCTGAAAGTTTTTGTCTTAATTTTACAGTTTTTGTACCTGCATACAAAACGTGTGTAAGTATTGATGGAAAAGCATCAATAAAGACAATTCAATGTTTTTTTTTAAATCTTTTTTTTTAATGCTCAAATTGTGTTACTACAATTAGTATTGTGTGTGCATACATTACCAAAAAGGATTTAGTTAAAGCACAATGATTTTGACATAAAATTATTAATGCAGATCAACAGAAACAAAACCAGATTTTCATTTGCTTGTTTGTTTCAACATCTTGGGGAGCCGTGGAGTCATCAGTCTCTCTTGACACATACATATGGGCGAGTGTTGGTACAGTGATAGGTCCTCCAGCACCCAGTTGCTGTGAAGACCAGAAGGAGATGTCAGAAAACCAAACAGCAGAAAAACTCTAAAATAATCATTAATGCCTTTTAAAACTAACAAACTGATGTTAGTTTTACAGTAAACTAAAACTGGCCTAAGACAATTGATCGATTATGACATAAAAGAATGTACATTATCAAAGTAAACTGAGTCCTTGAATCTTCTCAGAAACGGAAAATCGTCCTGCATAATTTAATTTACCGTCAAAATTTATTGTTACACAGCGGTGTCCGCTATAAGGCTGTCCAGAACACCAGTTTGCATCCAGAAATTGCTTCCATCACTCCACAACCAAACAGAGCTCTGGAAACAATAATATTACAGATGATATATTTTATTCAATAGTCTATTGAAAAAGCTACAAAAAGTATCTGTACTGATTGATACCTGTTGTGCATTAGTGCCTCCAATCCACGTCTCTACATTGGAACTTGTTGAATCGAGTATCAGCCTGTGGATGAACTGGTATTCCTCATAACTATGGATTGATGCAAGGTTTGCCTGCACGCCCAAGCAGTTTTTCTGCAGAAGACATAGAGGTAGTGTTTAGTATCAGATAACTAATAGTGTACAAGAAAATTGGTGATAAAAGGGACGGGAGATCACCTCAGCTTGAGCCCAAGTTGTATATGTTGAAAAGTACCGATAGCATCGACCGTTGAACAGAGACCAGCCCCAAGAACAAGACTGCACAGTCATGACCTGGGGGTCTCCTGACAACACACAGGAAAACTCTCTGGTCAACACAGAGGACCCAAAAAATTTACTCTTGTAAATATCTACTTCTATTTACCCTAACAGTGAAAGTAAAAAGTAGCCATGCAAGAAATTACTCCAGAAAGAGTCAGTCAATTTTCAAACAAAGATTTTTGAATGAAAAGAATGCACTCATTTGTCAAAACAACAACTGAAATAATAATAATGATAGAAATAATCTGATAACACCAGGCACTCTCATCTTTTATCTTAATCTATTGAAACATTTACATTATTATCACTACAATATGTTTTCTCAAATTGAATGAAATTATTGTAAGAATTCAGAATATGATGAGCGGTATTTATCGATAAATGTATCAATAAATTACAAACAAAATGTATCAGATTCACCATCTGGAACAGTTTCCATAGCCTGAGGCTGAAGGTCTTCATTGGAGAAAAATTCTGGTTTGTTAATATTTATAAAAATATATTTAGTTATATAAAAATATCTTAAGATTTACTGACCGGCATTTTCCAAGTGTCCATCTTGTCCTTCAGGAACAACTGTGAGTTTAACAAAGCTTTTAGTATCAAATTTACATTACTGTGTTTATCTTGTGTACCCAGCATTGTGAACAACTGAATAATATTCAGTGAAGCTGTTCTGAAATCAAATAGCATCTATCATTTCTTATATTGGAGACATACTTACCAGCAGCTTGGTTCAGAGCCAAGAAGGCAAAAAGAAGCAAAGTCAGAGTCTTCATTGTGGAAAAGATGCTGATTGAAAACTAAATCACCGTCTGCAAAGATAAAGAAAGTATGCATTCAGGAAATCACTGTGTAAATTAATAAATGGATATGCTGGTAAAGTGACTTCCAACAACCTGACAGCAGATGTATTTTCTCTTCTTCAGCTTGGTGTCTGTAGCCTTGGGTTTAGTGTTTAGAAGGATTGCAAACCATCTCTTATATACTGTTGCCTCTGGTTCCTCAACCAGGAACTTGGTACGCGTATTTAGACACATGTCCTTGGCACATTCTTATCTTTTAAATGCCCAGTGATAAAAGTTTACCAACTTAATGTGGTTTTGACTGTAAAATTCCTTGTCTCAATGTCCACCACCTAGTAATTATTCACTACATTTTCGATGATTTATGTTCATTTGTAACTATATTTCTGTTCCTGTGTACATAAAACATACGGAAGAGTCTGTGAAATTAAGTTTCTTTTCCCCTAATACTTTGGGTTTTACTTTGGTTTGTCAAAATTAATTAATTGGGCTTTAATTAATTTTGACAAATTAATTTTTTAATTTTGACAAATTAAAAAATTCATTTTCTTAATTAATGAGGTAAGAACATAAATTCTTACTTTTAAGAATTTATGTTGTTTTTGCATTGCTGTATTAAGTTTAATGAATACAGCAATGCATTAAACAAAATACAATAAATAACCACCTGCTCTTGACAGTTGGTGGCAAAAAGTCAAAGGTCTGAGTGACTGGAAATAAGTTTACTGTAAGTTCCACTTGAAAGCTACAATCAGGCCATAATCCACCTGCTCTTGGTGGTTATCTTTGCTCTTTCCAATCTTGTATAAGCTGCACCGCTCTATCCGGAATACTCCTCTCACTGAACAAGCAGCCGTTGAAGAGAGTAAATGAAGGTCATTTCATCAAACCTATAACCTGAAAACTATAATCTAATCAGACCATAATCTAAATGGTCATTCTTGCACCCTTGAATGGAGTCCAATTACACTGTCGGTCATAATTCAAAATAGTGCAAGGTCTGAGTGACTGGAAATAAGTTCACTGCAAGTTCCAGTTGAAAGCTACAATCTTACACAAGATTGGAAAGAGCAAAGATAACCACCAACTGTCAAGTGTTGTAAGGTTGCTTTTACAGTCTCTACTGTAATATCATTAGATTATGGCCTGATTAGATTGTAGCTTTCAAGTGGAACTTACAGTAAACTTATTTCCAGTCACTCAGACCTTTGACTTTTTGCCACCAACTGTCAAGAGCAGGTGGTTATTTATTGTATTTTGTTTAATGCATTGCTGTATTCATTAAACTTAATACAGCAATGCAAAAACAACATAAATTCTTAAAAGTAAGAATTTATGTTCTTACCTCATTAATTAAGAAAATGAATTTTTTAATTTGTCAAAATTAAAAAATTAATTTGTCAAAATTAATTAAAGCCCAATTAATTAATTTTGACAAACCAAAGTAAAACCCAAAGTATTAGGGGAAAAGAAACTTAATTTCACAGACTCTTCCGTATGTTTTATGTACACAGGAACAGAAATATAGTTACAAATGAACATAAATCATCGAAAATGTAGTGAATAATTACTAGGTGGTGGACATTGAGACAAGGAATTTTACAGTCAAAACCACATTAAGTTGGTAAACTTTTATCACTGGGCATTTAAAAGATAAGAATGTGCCAAGGACATGTGTCTAAATACGCGTACCAAGTTCCTGGTTGAGGAACCAGAGGCAACAGTATATAAGAGATGGTTTGCAATCCTTCTAAACACTAAACCCAAGGCTACAGACACCAAGCTGAAGAAGAGAAAATACATCTGCTGTCAGGTTGTTGGAAGTCACTTTACCAGCATATCCATTTATTAATTTACACAGTGATTTCCTGAATGCATACTTTCTTTATCTTTGCAGACGGTGATTTAGTTTTCAATCAGCATCTTTTCCACAATGAAGACTCTGACTTTGCTTCTTTTTGCCTTCTTGGCTCTGAACCAAGCTGCTGGTAAGTATGTCTCCAATATAAGAAATGATAGATGCTATTTGATTTCAGAACAGCTTCACTGAATATTATTCAGTTGTTCACAATGCTGGGTACAAACAAGATAACACACAGTAATGTAAATTTGATACTAAAAGCTTTGTTAAACTCACAGTTGTTCCTGAAGGACAAGATGGACACTTGGAAAATGCAGGTCAGTAAATCTTAAGATATTTTTATATAACTAAATATATTTTTATAAATATTAACAAACCAGAATTTTTCTCCAATGAAGACCTTCAGCCTCAGGCTATGGAAACTGTTCCAGATGGTGAATCTGATACATTTTGTTTGTAATTTATTGATACATTTATCGATAAATACCGCTCATCATATTCTGAATTTTACAATAATTTCAGTCAATTTGAGAAAACATATTGTAGTGATAATAATGTAAATGTTTCAATAGATTAAGATAAAAGATGAGAGTGCCTGGTGTTATCAGATTATTTCTATCATTATTATTATTTCAGTTGTTGTTTTGACAAATGAGTGCATTCTTTTCATTCAAAAATCTTTGTTTGAAAATTGACTGACTCTTTCTGGAGTAATTTCTTGCATGGCTACTTTTTACTTTCACTGTTAGGGTAAATAGAAGTAGATATATTTACAAGAGTAGATTTTTTGGGTCCTCTGCCCGGCTCTGTGTTGACCAGAGAGTTTTCCTGTGTGTTGTCAGGAGACCCCCAGGTCATGACTGTGCAGTCTTGTTCTTGGGGCTGGTCTCTGTTCAACGGTCGATGCTATCGGTACTTTTCAACATATACAACTTGGGCTCAAGCTGAGGTGATCCCGTCCCTTTTATCACCAATTTTCTTGTACACTATTAGTTATCTGATACTAAACACTACCTCTATGTCTTCTGCAGAAAAACTGCTTGGGCGTGCAGGCAAACCTTGCATCAATCCATAGTTATGAGGAATACCAGTTCATCCACAGGCTGATACTCGATTCAACAAGTTCCAATGTAGAGACGTGGATTGGAGGCACTAATGCACAACAGGTATCAATCAGTACAGATACTTTTTGTAGCTTTTTCAATAGACTATTGAATGAAATATATCATCTGTAATATTATTGTTTCCAGAGCTCTGTTTGGTTGTGGAGTGATGGAAGCAATTTTCTGGATGCAAACTGGTGTTCTGGACAGCCTTATAGCGGACACCGCTGTGTAACAATAAATTTTGACGGTAAATTAAATTATGCAGGACGATTTTCCGTTTCTGAGAAGATTCAAGGACTCAGTTTACTTTGATAATGTACATTCTTTTATGTCATAATCGATCAATTGTCTTAGGCCAGTTTTAGTTACTGTAAAACTAACATCAGTTTGTTAGTTTTAAAAGGCATTAATGATTATTTTAGAGTTTTTCTGCTGTTTGGTTTTCTGACATCTCCTTCTGGTGTTCACAGCAACTGGGTGCTGGAGGACCTATCACTGTACCAACACTCGTCCATATGTATGTGTCAAGAGAGACTGATGACTCCACGGCTCCCCAAGATGTTGAAACAAACAAGCAAATGAAAATCTGGTTTTGTTTCTGTTGATCTGCATTAATAATTTTATGTCAAAAACATTATGTTTTAATTAAATCCTCTTTGGCTTTGCTTTAAAATCTTTACATATACAGCTAATGCATGCAAACACCGTACTAAATGGAGTGACACAATTTGAGCAATAAAAAAAGATAAAAAAAAACATGATTGTTTTTATTTGAATTAGACTACTTGCTTTATTTTTTTTGCCTTTACAAAATGTTAAACTCAGATTTCAAACAAGATTATTTCATTTTCATCATATCATTCTTTTTGTGTAAAACATTTATTTTATCACTTAAATTATACATCAGTTTTCACAAACTTAAGTGTAGAATCAAGACAAAAACTAACAGAAATTACACTCAATTAACTCCTAACTCCATCCACCAAAATAACTGGTTATGAAGATATTAATTTAATTAAAAACCATATTTGAATAATTTCACAATTGGTGTTATTAATAGCATGAAGAACATTTTTAAGATTCATGAACTACTTCATTTATTGTTTGTTTCATTCCACTAGAATAACTATCAAGAGGAAATTAGCATTAAAAAAATTCTTAAATTTCGTAACACTGATGACACATTTTTGCAAGCAATGAATTTTGTGTTGGACGAAAAAATGCAGACTTTACGTAAGGACGTAAATAGTACCCAAAGTGGGTGGTGCGAAGTGCAGATGTGCCCGGACAGCTCCAGGTCCATCACTCCACAACCAAACAGAACTCTGGAAACAATAATATTACAGATTATACATGTCCAAAAATGTCCACACAATATAGCAGTCGGTGATGTATTGATGAACCGAGCAGTTATTTGAGACTTACACAGCCATATGCAAAAAAAAGATAAATTATGTTGTCACTTAAGTGTAATATTGCAAAATAATTTTCTGCTCTTCACTGCCCTTGCCACTTTCCCTGAACGCCCAGCCACAATTATGGTGGACCGCGAAGGATACATCGAACCCATCCTTCAAATCTGATGAAGAGAGGGAGGCATTTGAAGGAGTCTTCAAATTCAGACATCCTTCGTTGCCGTGCTATGATGTAATCAATATACAAATCTGTCCTTCGAAGGATGCAGTCCCTGAAATCAAACACGGCTATTGTTTACATCAGGAAAATTCATACATGTGCACAATGTTGAGATAAAAAGACACAAGCTGTGTCCAGACACTGCTTCAATTCCCACAAGTCTGAACTGGAAGTGATTTGCTCCATATGAGTAGGCAAGCACATGCTCAATGCATAATGGACCAACAAAACAAAACATATGGACTCTCTTGACCAGTGTGTGAGAGAAAGATGTTAGGATCAACTGGTATGAGTTCACAGAAGAGTGATGTCACTAAGTAGTCTTTTACCATTCGTAGCTGTGCTGCTGTGGTAGAACAGTTATGTTAACAGAATTAAACTGGATATGTAGATATTAATTTAGTGCAGTGAGCCACAGTAAAAGGAAAAATAACACATTTTACCTTCTGAAAACCAATGTGGCTGGTCCTAAAATAGTGGACTAGTCTTCATATTGGTAAAAATACAAACTGAGTGTCATTTTTAAAAAAATAAAAGAAACCAAAAGCATCTTTATCATAGTAACTAATCTTTATAACAGTCTATAAGACAAACCTCAAGAGTTAAGAAAAATTACTGATGATATTATGATTTATTATTTGTTGACAGACAAGATTTTTAGGACAAACGCCTATTTCCACAGAACAATTTGCAGGAGCATTACATCAGAGGATCACCATCTGAGGCATGACTCCAACCATCACATCTTTTCCCAGTGACTCTCTGTGGAAGTCATTTCTTTACACGTTCCTCAGTAAACTTTTAAACATATTCGCCTCGTTTGTCTTCACTTTGAAAAACATGTCGGTTAAATATCACCAATTACATTTGTCCTATTTAAGCAGATACTGTTATGCTTCCATAAATCTTGTCATTTTACCATTATCTCATCTATTCCAGCTTGACATTAAACCTGGAAAAAACAATGAACATCAAATACTTCCACTTCTATCCTTTGTTTTATTTTTCCAACCATCAATCATTTTGATAAAAATGATTTTAAAAATGCCTTAACTCTTATTCATTTAGTTTTGATTACCCATTCATTGAGTCAGATCTTTATAGTTTAGCATTGAATGACAAGTATATACAAGTATTTCCTTCTATTTCCTCCTGTTTAGAGTCACAAATATGTTGTGTCCTGTCTGGACGCTTTGCAGCTCAAATGAGTGAGACCTCTGCTGTTCAGATGCATGCATTGCCAGTCGATTGTGAAAAGCAAATAAATAATTCTCATGGATGATTATCTAATTTATTATTATACATGATACACTTTACAAAAAATCATTAAATGTTCAAAAATCTACTATTGGTATGGAAAATCTATATTTGTGGTTCAATTTCCAGGATAAAGTATAAAATTTTACAGCTGAAATGTATTTTTTTTATTACAAGTCATAAAAAATATCTAAAATATAACAAAATTGTTTTATCAGACTTTCAGGAATAAACCTTATTAAATTACACAGTATAAGAATTTCTAAACAATGTTTATCACAACACAGTAAGAGGTAAAATGGTAAAGTTTTGTTTATGATACTGAAATTAAAGGATAATTTTTAGGTGAAAAAAGTAGCATTAAATCATTTATTTATATATAATTGTTCATAAATCAAAAATGTGTAAATTAAGCTTTAAAAATAAGGCAGAAAACAAATTCAAAACTTTCTATTATAATTTTTATTTAAACTTTATATTCTTGCCTGGTCCAATGCATTAACATCACAGTTCCTGAAATTGAATCAGAGTATGCCCTCTTTAGTAGAATAGAATATCTGTACAACTGACGGCAGTAATAATGCCATCGGAGTGGGACCTCTTTCCAACACCATCGCTTTTCTGTCACAGTCTCATCAACGGCAGTTACAGGTGTGTCGTCACCGCGATGTTTGTCCCTGCGCGGATTCCATCGCACAGTTTTCCGTCCCTCCCAGCAACATCAAGTCTACTTCTGCTTTCTGAACTCCTGCAGTGATTTAATCACTGTAAACCCATTAGCTCGTCGTATCAGCGGTGCCAGTCACGCCGGAATAAAAGGACTTTCCGAAAGGCGCCGCGTCAAACAGCTTCTTCACGTCCAGCCGAGTTTGATGGAGTCGCTGGTAAGTTTAATTAGCTGGTTTAGCTTCGGTAGCTGCGCTAGCCGCTCAGTTTGAATCGCTATTCGACTGCACTGTATATTGACAGAAGCGGCTCACTTTCTGTGAGAGTAGAGAACAAGTGGACTGAAGGAGAAAATGTTTATTTCTGCTGTCAAGCCTTAATACGCATGTCTGTCAGCAAGTTCTGAGTGTGAATGACTTTACCAGTAAATAAATAAATCAAGCTGTTGTAATCAATCAGTGGTTTGTTTACGGAGCATCCTGCATGAAGATAGGAGAGAGGACGATCATAAATCTGTTCTCTGTGTAGAGTTTGGAAGGACAAAGACAGACTATTATTAATTCAGCAACTATTTACAAGCTATTGCAAGGAGGGTATTTAATGTATTTGGATTTTGCTAAAATAATAATAAAAATGATAAATCTGGTATGTAATTTAGTCCTCTTTACCTTTGCACTTAAAAAAGGTACACAAACTCCACCTTCAGTCAACATCAGTATCAAAACAAACTTCACAATAACTTTTAGTAGTGGGTTAGTCGGTACAGGAAAGTTTGACCATTTTGAAAACAACATGGCGGCATCATGCTGTGGGGATATGCTGTGTTCCAGTTGTACTCAGAACTGGGACATTCTGACGTCCCAGTCACCTGGAAAAATCACCTGCAAGTCAAATTTCCCACCAGGAACTGGGGAGCTACCCTGACTATCCCAGATATGTTTGTGTTTCAATATGGCTGCTCTTCAGATCAAAATAGTAAGATTTATTTGGAAGCATGGTTATTTTAGCAGACACATGTAAGGAAAATAAAATAAATGCTATATGTAGAGCCTGCAGCTCTAATTAAAATGGTTGCTTATGGAAAGTGAAACTGAAAAGTATGTTTGTAAGAAGTACTGCAAACAATGTCTATGTTGAAATTCCGACACGTTAAATAGTTGTGGAAAAGTGATCTTCTTCTGTTTGTTTAATTGCAGTTAGAAAGCAACTTTTTGGTACGTTGCTGCCATTTTAAGGTACCCGACCAAAAAATAACATTTTAAACTAGAAATTTTGTCAGTTTAGAAAACCTCCTGAATAATGAAGCATGGTGATGGCAGCATAATGCTGTGGGGATAGTTGTCTTTATTGGTGTCAGCTTTACAAGATACGAGGAATTTGGTGTTCACACACAGTGTCCATTCAGTTTGGTGGAGCTTTAGCTTTGTTGCTAAGAATTGTGGGTAAATATTTTAGCATTCAGATGTTCTAAGGTGGTTGACAATAACCCCAAAAGACTTGTGCGTCTTTTGCAAGGTGCTGAATATGATCCAGTAGAACCTCAAAAGTTATTGGTAGGGACTCTGTAAGCGAGATGTGTAAAAGTTAAAAACTAATTAATGATTTATTTTGACAGTGTCTTAATCTCTTATCTGTTGAGCAGAAGTTCAACAAACAAGAACTTGGATCCAAATGAGTAGAAGAGGCATCAACTCAGGACGGAGGAGGCTCCTCTCTTTATGTCAGCTGAATAGAATCAGAAGAGACAACAGATGAGTTTTGAATAAAATGTTCATAAATAAAACATATATTTATTTACGATGCTGGAGCTCTGAGAGCATGAAGTGATGGAGAAACAAGAAGGAAGGTGAGCAAACCATGACAATCTGTTTCCACTAGAAATCACCCTTTTTAAAATTTGGATGTTGGGCTTCAGTTTTAGTCTCATAGAGCTACTTTTAACTAGGTTTGTGTATTAATGTTGGTTCACAACAAACGCAAGCCTTTTGCTTCTATATTTCTGCCTGTTAAAGTGAAAAATATTGTATAATTAACAGGGCGTCAATGCAACCTTAAAAAGTGTTAAAATCATCGACCTAAAATTAAGACCTTAAAAAAAACTTTAATCCCTTATAGAAAACCTGTGTTGGTCTTAAATAAGATAACCACTGGTCTTAAATTTTGTTGTATTTTGTTTTACCTTGAACATTCTG